GGAACAGTAATGATAGGCCCTGTGGTGCCAGAATTTAAAGAGTCTTTGACCCTGAGGCACTTTCTAGGTGTGGCTAACAGAGATAGGCTTCCCCTGGATGGATTGGTTTTAATTAATGTCATAAGTGACTTCAGGCATTTGGAAGGCTAAAATGACCTGTAACTCATTTACCTTTATATTAAAGCTAGACAAAAGGACAGTGGCATAAATGTATTCTCTTATAGTCTTTATAGATTTGTAGTTGATTTTCTTGATTGTTCTAAGCTTATAAGAAAGAATGTTATCGCAAAAGAAAAAGGAGATAATTTTTTTCCAATTTCTTCTTAAGTGCTTTTCCTAAATTAGGCAGGGGTATTGAAAGATGGTTGCATAGATTACTTCATATGTTTAATGTAATATATTTTCAGATATCTGAGTACACGTCAAGTTTTATATTTATGGTATAAAAGCTTTTTAATCTTTAGTGCACTATGTCTTTAATATCCTGTTTAGTGTGATTATTTTTAAAATATATGGCATAATGGCTTAGAAAGCATGGATTCTATAGTTATACCTAGATTTTAATTCCATCAGCTCTGCTTTACTAATTTATGTGACTTAAGGAAATTACCTTTCTTAATCTTGATTTTTCTCATCTATAAAATGAAGGTGGTGTTAATACCTAATTAATAATTATTGAGGAGTAGTGATGTCAGTTTGAGGACTAGGGTGCGTGTGATTGGATGCTATGCATCCAAGACCTGGGCAATGAATAAGGATGACAGAAAAATAATTGATGCCTTTGAACCGTGTTGGAGAAGAGCACTGAACGTCCCATGGATGGCCAAGAGAATGAACAGATATGTCTTGGAGCTGTTGCAGCCAGAGTGCTCTTTGAAGGCAAGAATGATGAGGCTTTGCTTCACATACTTTGGACATATTGCAAGGAGGTACTATTATTCCTTGAAGAGACATTATGTTGGGAAGGGTAGAGGGTTGGCAAAGGAGAGGAAGACCTTCAACCGGGTAGATTGACAAGGTGACTGCTGCCGTGGGCTCTTGTGCGTCAGGAAGTGTGAGGATGGCACAGGACAGGACTGGGTTTAGATCTTTTGTTCATAGCGTCACTATGAGTCATACTCAACTCAGTGGCACCTAACAACAACCACATTAATACCTGCGACCCAACCGAATGCGGAAACTACAGAACAATTTCACTGATTTCACATGCAAGCAAGATTTTACTGAAGATTATCCAAAACCGACTGGAACAGCACATCAACAGAGAACTACCAGAAGTCCAGGCTGGTTTCAGAAGGGGTCGTGGTGCTAGAGATATTGTAGCTGATGTTAGATGGATCTTGACTGAAAGCAGGGAATACCAGAGGAATGTCTATCTGTGTTTCATTGACTATGCAAAGGCATTTGACTGTGTAGATCATAACAAACTGTGGCTGACTCTGAGAAGAATGGGAGTCCCAGAACATTTGATCGTTCTAATGTGAAACTTATACTTGGACCAGGAGGCAGTCATCAGAACAGAGCAAGGGAACACTGCATGGTTCAAAATTGGGAAGGGCGTACGCCAGGGATGCATCCTATCTCCATACCTTTTCAACCTATATGCAGAACAGATTATCCAGGAGGCTGGGCTCTATGAGGAGAAATGTGGGGTCAAGATTGGTGGACGATTTATCAACAATCTGCGTTATGCGGATGACAGAACCCTGCTTGCTGAAACTGAGGAGGACCTGAAGCGCCTGCTGCAGAGTGTCAAGGACTGCAGCCTACAATATGGATTGAGGCTCAATGTCAAGAAGACAAAGATTCTCACCACTGGACCAATTGGCAGCATCAGGATGGATGGTGAAGAGATTGAGATTGTACACAGCTTTAGTTTGTTTGGCTCCATAGTCAACCGTCTTGGCACCAGCAGCCAGGAAATTAAAAGGCACATTGCCATGGGAAAGTCTGCTGTTAGGGACCTCTCCAAAGTGCTGAAGAGCAGTGGTGTCTCTCTGGAGACGAAGGTGCGCCTGATACAGGCCATGGTCTTCACAATCACCTGTTATGCATCAGAGAGTTGGACAATGACCAAGGAGGATAGAAGGAGAATTGATGCCTTTGAGCTGTGGTGTTGGAGAAGAGTATTGAGAATACCATGGACTGCTAGGAAAACAAACAGATTTGTCCTGGAGAGGGTTAAACCGGGTGGCTCTTTGGAGGCAAGGATTCTGAGGCTCCGTCTAACTTACTTTGGACATGTTGTGAGGAGAGACCGGTCCTTGGAGAGGGACATCATGCTTGGGAGGGTAGAGGGATGGCGCAGGAGAGGAAGGCCCTCTATGAGGTGGATTGATTCAGTGACTGGGATAATTGCAATGGGAGTGTCAGAGACAGTGCGATTGGCACAGGACAGAGCGGAGTTTAGGGCTGTTGTACATAGGGTCGCTATGAGTCACAGGCGACTCGACGGCACATAACAACAACAACAAAGAGCAAAAACAGTTGATTCTAATTATTTAAAGAAGTGTTCTATAAAGTCAAAGCAAATGCAAAATAAATTCATTCTGGTCCATTGTCCCTAGGGAAAATGAAAATTCAGGCCTCATTTCCTCTGTGAGCCTCTGGTCACAGCAGTTTTATCGGTTGAAATACATAGCCTTATTTTATGTGGATTTTCTGTTGAAAGACACCATATTTAATATAAAGAGCTTTGGTAGTATTAGGTGGTGTTACTGACAGTTCAGAGGTTCAGATCTTCCAGGTGCCCAGTGGAAGAATGAGGAACAATCTCCTTCTCTAAAGATAAGTGTTGCTATGAGTCTTATGTGACTTGACAGCACTTAACAACAACAACAAAGATTTACAGCCTTGGAAACCTCTCCGAGTCAGAACCAACACATAGGTAGTGTTATTGATTGATTTTGTTCAGTTTAATATGAGTTCCTTGAGAGGCACGAGTGTTAAGCCCTAAACTATTTGCCAAAATATTGATGGTTTGAACTCACACTGAGACTCCTTGAAAGGCAAGCCTGGTGATCTGCTTCCGGAAGGTCATACAACCTTAGCCTATAGAGTGATTCTTCTAAGCACAGGCAGGGTAACCATGAGCAAGGATGACTGAACAGCTAATAACACCTCCTGTATGTTGTTGATTCCTAACATGGGACTCTCTTGGCCTGTTTGCATCCTGTAGTGCTCTGGTTTGCATTTTTTTGGTTCTTTTTTTGTTGGTGACATGCTGTTTAAAAGGACCCCCAAGAGCAATGCTGAAGTGCTGTTGAGTGGTCCCTTGTCCACAGACGCAGTAATATTCTTTAGGGAGAAAATAAGTGCCTTAGATATGCTGGGCAACAATGTACACAGCACTGAAGTAAGCTGATCTTTGAAAGCGAACCAATTCACTAGCAAAGCCGGAGCCTTTTTCTGAAGTAATTTTGCCTAACATTTTTCTTTTCTTCCATGCATTATGATCTATTCAGGCTTTATATGTCTTCTTACATAAATTTGGATAACATTATTTTTAGAAAATCATCCATTTATTGAGCTTTCAGATGTATCCCAAAGTCTGAAATCAGACAGAGCAGATCTCTGCCCCACACCGACCATATGTAGAAAACAGAAATAAATCCAAAATCAGAATTTCAAACGTTGATATTTTCAATAATCCATCCCCTTTTTACTATTTCCCAAGAAAATGCATTGTACCTCAACCCCAAAATGTCATACTCTGTGTGTGAATGTGACATACTTTCATTATACATATGTCCATCTGCATTACTAATATTAGATATAGACCAGATCAGAGTTTTAGTGTTACCTGGGAATGAGGTTGACAGAAAAAAGAGGAAGGGAAGGATTGCATGGTTTCATTGTCGTCAGAATAAATCCATGCCAGTTTTCTAGATTTACCATCTGTGAATGAATTTATAATTTGTTTAAGAAGAAAGCCCATGGCCAGCATGAAATTGTACTTGACATCTTTTGGGTTAGAGGGCTTTCTGAACTTGATAGATATTGATAGATTGAGGCTCAAGACCTGTGCTGGCCAATACATTACTTATAAGCCACATGTGGTTGTTTAAAATCAAGTTAATTTAAATTCAGTAAAATGAAAAATCCCATTTCTTAAGTCACTAGTCATATTTCAAATGCTGGGACCACAGGTGGCTATTTAAATTTCATTAAAATGAACTCAAACTGGAAATTCAATTTCTTAGTTGCACTAGCCACATTGCACGTATTCAGTATCACATTTTGGTGCAGATAGTGAATATTTCTGCCATTCCAGGAAGTTCTTTTGCAAATTACTCCTTGTAGACAAACTGGATCATGTTAATCCTCGTGGTGAACCTCATATCAAAGCCAAACAGGCTGAGAGGCTTAGACTATCTGTCCTGAGGTTCTTTTATTCTCCTGTCTAGAGCAAGAATCAACTGAGTTTTTATTTTCAGAACTCTTAAATGAGTAAATAATTTATGTATCTAATCCTATTGAAAGATTTATTTTCTACTCAAAACTTCATCTAAATAGGTGATTCAAAAATAAATACAGAGATATTGAGAATGAACCAAACAGTTCCATTCCAGTATATGCAGAGAACTCCCCTGGAGGAGTATTCCCATGTTGTTGTTGTTATTGTTACATGCTGTGGAGTCAGTACCAGTTCATCGGGGACCCTCCAGCAAGTCTTTGGAGATGTAAGTCTCATGTGAGACAATTGCCCATCTTTCCACGGAGCAGCTGGTAGATCAGACCTCCTGTCTGTGAGTTGCCAGTGCAGCTCTGTACCACTTGGCCAGCAGGGCACTGCATGTTCCCATGAGAGATAGTCCTTGAAATCTGACATGAAAGCAGAATTTAAATTTTAATATAATGTCATTTTGTAGATTTCTTATTGTAAAATAAAGTCACTATGTTTCTCTGCTTTCTTAGACTCTTCATGGCATGTTTCTACAGAAGAGCTTTGATACCATTTTGATTATAACTTTATGTTCTTTGTCTTGATTTGTTTATAGGTTTGCGAAGATTCAAATCAGTGTATCTGAGCCCATTATTCCATTCAGAGAAACGATCACAAAGCCTCCAAAAGTTGACATGGTCAATGAAGAAATAGGCAGACAGCAAAAAGTTGCCGTCATACACCAAACAAAAGAGGATCAGAGCAAACTCCCAGAAGGAATCCAGGTTGACGCTGATGGGCTGATCACCATGACGACACCTAATAAACTCGCCACACTCAGTGTTCGCGCCATGCCTCTGCCAGAAGAGGTCACTCAGATTCTGGAAGACAATAGTGATTTGATTCGTTCTATGGAGCAGTTGACATCCTCTTTGAATGAAGGCAGAAATGCTCAGGTAATTCCCCAGAAGACCCAAGAGAAAATTCAGGAATTCAAAGGAAAACTAGAGCAACACCTAACAGGGAGAAAATGGAGGAACATTGTTGACCAGATCTGGTCATTTGGCCCAAGAAAATGTGGGCCCAACATACTAGTCATCAGAAGTGAAGATTTTCAGCATCCAGTGTGGCCAGGCCCAGTCAACAAAGCTTCAAGAGAAGCTTCTAAGTACCGAGATTTGAGCAACAGCATAGTCAGTGGCTTCCAGCTCGCAACCCTCTCCGGCCCCATGTGTGAGGAGCCTCTCATGGGTGTCTGTTTTGTTCTGGAAAAATGGGACTTAGCTAAATTTGAAGAACAAGGAGCAAGTGAGAAGCAGGATGAGCAAAATGACCTGGTAAAAGAAGGACAGAGGGACTTTGCGCGTTATAGTGGAGGTGAAGGCCAAGAGCTACACGATGGCAGCTTTGAGCCTTTTGAGAAGAGAACTGCTCAGAAAGGAGAGGCTTCCCTCAGTGACTGCTATGGACCCTTCTCAGGACAGCTGATTGCCACCATGAAAGAAGCCTGCCGCTACGCACTTCAGGTGAAACCTCAGCGCCTGATGGCGGCCATGTACACGTGTGACATCATGGCCACTGGTGATGTTCTTGGTAAGGAAGGGAGGAAGGGGAAAGCTACTGAGAAACGTCTGCTCTCAGTGTAGCGTTCTATCACAAAAACTGAACCCACTGCATGTTTTCTTAGAAGATGTAGTCTCATTTAGTGAGGAACTAACATCTTAAAAGTGATGGATTTTAATTATTAAAATCTTGGGTGTGAAAAACTTATAGTACTAAAGATTTTCTTCCACAATTGGAAGGAATATCTTTTGTCTGGCAAATGAAGTTGAAGCTACCTCTTTAACAAATATAAGGGGGCTCTACTGGCTTAGTGATAAGGAGTTGTGCTGCCAGCGCAATGGCACACAGTTCAAATCCACCAGCTGCTCCACAGGAGGAAGATAGGCATTCCCCTGCCCTGAGATTTACTGCCTTTGGAAACCTGCCAGAGGGTCAGCTATGGGTTGGTCCTGACTCGATCGTCCATAACAGCAACAACAGACTCATACTTAACAGATAAATGTTACCATCCAAACTTATGTGCCAGTTTTTCCTCAAGTGGATAACCTGGTCAGCTTAGGTTAACTAGAGTTGTTCACAAAATGATCAGAGTGAGACGCCATTCTTGTATTCCTAACACAAAAAGCCTTTGGTGAATTCTCAGTCCCTTCTGAAAAACAACATTATTTGAGGCTATAAATGTTTCTGTTCTATCAAATCCCACTCCCAACCCCACCCCTTTTTTCCTTTGTGGCAAGTCGCACTGTCTTTGGCATCACAGGAGACATGGGGCTTTATTTGTCTTTAGGCAGATGCTACTGGCCTAGTCTGTAGGGGGTTATGCTTCTAACTCACAGGTGGGCAGTTCAAATCCACCATCTGCTTCTTGAAGAAAAAAATGGGTAATCTGTGCTATTTACTGCCTCTAAAAGCCCTCGGAAGGGTCAGCTGTCAGTTCTGACTCAACAGCAACAAGTCTGAGTTTTGAGTTGACTTCACTGAGAATTCTTTTCCTCACCCATGAAAAGGAGCATTAAGTCATAAGTTTGTTGTTGTTGTTGTTGTTGTTATGTGCCGTCGAGTCGCTTGCGACTCATAGCGACCCTGTGTACAACAGCCCTAAACTCTGCTCTGTCCTGTGCCAGTCACGCTGTCTCTGACACTCCCATCGCGATTACCCCAGTCACTGAATCAGTCCACCTCATAGAGGGCCTTCCCCTCCTGCGCCATCCCTGAGAATACAGACATAGTGTCTAGAAAGAACAGTGCCTGGCACCCAATAGCTCCATTAGCCTCTTGAGATCACGGAAGTGTTTCCAAGATGAAGAGGGCAGAAAGGGGGAGTTAGTGCTGAATGAGGAAGTGAGAAAAATCATTAGGTTTCTTCTAAGCCTAAGGCCCTTCAAGCCAGTCTTTGGTTGTTTAGCAGAATGTTAATTTAGTAAACTCTCTTGCTGGATTAATTCCCAACATCAAAAATCCAAGCCTTTTCCCCTTCCATTTTCTTCCCCCAAAAGAAATTTATTACATCCCAGTAATGTCCTGTGAGACAAATTCATCATTTCCTGGTAGCATTTTTTTAAAAACACAAGGAGGTATTAAACAAAATTGCATCTTACAACTTCTGAATGCTGGTGTAAAATCATTGTATATTGTCAATTGAATTTCCAAATAAGATAGCTATGTATGATACACAGTGTTTCACAACCTTGTGTTAATATTATTATTATTAACATCTTAAAGAATCCACATATCATCTGGAGAGCATCTGTCTAGACGATTCCCAGATGTTATCCTTGATACTCATCAAGAACGTCCTTAATTTAAGAAGGCAGAGTTGGGACTGGAATCCAGGAATCTGATTGCTTAGAAATCCTTAGAGGATTTCTCCGAGCTCATCGTTTACCTTTGCCTCCCTGATGAATGCTTAGAGTACCTTTATATGAATACTTCAGTGATAGGTAGCTTGCTCCTGTGATTAGACCACTTCTTCCCTATATTAAATAAAAAGTCTTATCCAGACAGGTTCCAACCACTATGTGTTCCTCTTCTGTATAGTATCATTGATTTATATGAGGACAGCATTTGTTCTCTAGTTTTATATTCTAAAGAAAACTCACCAGAGCTGAGCCATTAGCTAGTTCTCAAGTGATGTAATTTTCATATCCTCTCACTGTCTGGGATGCTGTCCTTTGGACACATTTTATTTGGTTGGCATCCCCCTTAAATAAAACAATCCTATTTGAACATAGCACCTCCAGCCAGTACAGAACGCAGACATACTATCACCCCCACACGAGATCTTTTAATGCAGTTCAACAGTTGGGTTTTACCATTTTCTCATGTGGGTAGTCAAGAGTTACCTCATTTTATATAAAAAAAATGTATATGTATATTCCCACTCTGTCCCCAGAAAGCAGAATCCACATTTTTAGTAACTGATAAAACAGTGGAATTATATAGTACCACCAATACCCATATTGGAGGAGGCCTTGCAGCCGAGTAGGTAAAAGTAGACAGTTCAAACCCTCTAGCTGCTCTGCTAGAGAAAGAGGCATTCTCCTCCCATGCAGTTACTGCCTCTGAAAACCCACCAGGGGGTCAGCTATGGTCCGTTCCAAAGAGACTGCAGTGAGTTTAGAGAGAATGCCTATATTTACATAGAAGTAAAATGGGTATGTGTAATTTCTTTCTTACATTATACAAGTGCAATACACACAATAAGCACAACAATAGTAAAGTTAATTTTGGGGTTTTATTTTTTATTTGTGTGTGTGCGCACACATGCATGCATTCTGTCAAATCAGATCCGACTGGCACAGGAGGAGATTGCCCCTTCTTATCCAGTGGAACATCTGGTGTATGCGAACCATGCACTTTTGGGGTTGCAGTGCAGCTTCTTGCCAATAGGCCACCAGAGCTCCCACTGGTGGGGGGGTTGGGGTTTCAATGGGAAGAGAAAGAAGTCACAATATAATCATCTTACTACATGGACTTTGATTTCCTCATTTGTGCTATTTTTGTTTGATATGAAAGCAATTCAGCAAACAGTAAATCATATTTTGATAAGATGAATGTCTTTTATGTACAACTCATTCTCTTATCGGCTTAACACTCATATTGGAAAAAGGAAAAAAATTCAAGTTAATATGAGTTTGTGTAAATAAGATCATATCTTGAAAGGTTTTTCTCGTAGTTCTGGAAATAGGAACTTATATTGATTTTAGAGAGATAGAGAGACATGCTCTGGTGGCATAGTCTGCAGGGAGTTGCACTGCTAACCCAAAAACCCTCTCACTGACAGTTCAGATCCACCAGAAGCTAGCTCTGCGCTTCAGAAATGTTAGGCAGTCAGCTATGAGTCAATTCCAACTCCAAAGCAATGAGGATGTATGTGTGTGTATTCATGTTCATATTCTCTGGTTTCTCCCTTCTCCCACCCCTCACCTGAAAAATTCCCTTCTCAGTGGGATTAATTAGCCACTAGAATCACTTTGTATTTTTAATTCATTGTCATGTGAATTGTAAATTGTCCCTTTATTGTTTCTAACTGTTGCCCTTTTAAATTCTTTTCTTTTCCTTTTCTAAACTTTGGCAATAACCTTACATTTCATAAATACCTGTTTTCATTAGACTGTGTTGAAGTTTTAAGGAGCCCTTCTGGGACAGTGGTTAAGTGGTTGGCTGCTAACTAGAAGATTGGCAGTTCAAACTCACAGTCACATCACAGGAGAAAAGACCTGGCAATCCCACTGAATTACACTGAAGACCCCAGTTAAGAAACTCTGTGAGATAGCTTTACTCTTTTAAGATAGTTATGAGTTGGAATTGATTCAAAGGTAGTTAATAATTTAGCAGCAGTTAAAATGATGGATAATGTGTTTTGTATTGGAGTGCTAACCTAAAGGTCGGAGATTACAGTTGACCAGGAGGAAGATGGGAAGTCTCCTCCCATAAAGATTTATCACCTCAGAAACTCAATTAAGGGCCACCAGGAGTCAGAAGCCACTGGTGACAGTGGGGTTTGAGTGTATAGTTGGTATAGTTCTTTCTTCAATATATACATGTTACAACATATATGCCCTATAAGGAAATTCCCCAATAAGTTTCATTCACTGTTTACTTTTCTTTTCTTTTTTTTATTAAATTTTATTAGTTTCAATGAACACTCACAGGGATTCTGGGCTTTCACTCCTTCATTGCCGCACCATTCTCTCCACCCTCCTCCCCAGTTTGTTGTCCAATTGCCACAGTGCTTGTCAAAGTCAGTTCTGATTAATCTCCTTTGTCGGTGTGTCCTTTGCCATTCCCTATCACTCCTCCCTGAGAGAGACTTCACCCTGATTCATAAGGAAAAGGGGATAGCGTATTCTCTTAGCTACTTCCTGCTGAAAAGGGACGCTGTGGGTTTCAGGGTGAAGATCTTCTCTCACTACTCTAAAGGGCCCCTTTGGCAGTAGGAAACACATAGACTATTATGGAGATTGATTTTGGAATTTAGATGCACTCTTATTGATTGTGCTTGGCCGTACATGTTCATATCCTTGAAGATGTATCATGGGGGTGTTGCAACCTAGAAGACACAAATTTGAGTAAAAAGTTATAAGTACATGAGTCAAAAATTATGGAAAAGTAAAAGAAAAGATTCTTTCATTGTTTTACAAACCCTCCCCCAGGTCCCCTCCACCATGTAGCCCTCGCTCTAGACTCCTGTGATGACAGAAATACCTAGTTTACTTTTAAAGTTAAAAATGTTTTATTTCATACTTCGTTGTTTTTTACATTTCATAATTCAAGGCAGTAGATTAGAGAGAGAAGAGAGAGAGAGCTGTAATGTGCCAGAATTGCATCAAGCCTGATTCTTGCTTTGAAGGAGTTCTAGTGAACTTAATTATAAGGAGCTTTGCTGCCAACCCAGAGACCCATGGTTCGAATCAACCAGCTGCTTTGCAAGGGAAAGATGGAAGATCTCCTCCTGTGTGATTTGCAATCTTTGAAAACCCCCTGGAGGGTCAGCTGTCGTTCGGTTCAGACTCAGCAGCTCCTAATAA